CAATAAAATAGTCAGAGAATAAAGTTACAATTTTATTTCCGTGAAATGTCAAATAATTTGAATGATTTATTTTCCTCCTTGATTTATCCATTTATGTTTTGTATTCAGGTGTATGTATGTTTGAAAGGAGTCTTATAGACTTTTATGCACACTCATAACAATGTGCTGCTCAGTCAGAATCATCCTTATCTTTCATAAGTGTCATATAAATAGTCAGAGCCTGTCAGAAACCAAAATAACTGCCTTTATCTTTTTAATAAAATAATGTACCACAAATGCTGCTATTAGTTAACCTGATTTTTTTAATATGTTGGTTTCATATGAGCCAAAATATGTGGTGTTCAAAGAGAAAGGAAAAGACCATCTTTCAATAATAATTCATATTATAAGAATATTTATTTCTAAATGTGTCTTTTACTTAAACATTAAAAAGTTATTTAGAACTTAGTAGGAGAGGGGCGCCTGGGTGACTCAGTTGGTTGAGCGTCAGATTCGGCTCAGGTCATGATCTCACAGTTTGTGGGTTTTGAGCCCCGTGTCGGGCTCTGTGCTGACAGCTAGCTCAGAGCCTGGAGCCTGCTTCGGATTCTGTGTCTCCCTCTCTCTCTGACCCTGCCCTGCTCATGCTGTCTCTATCTCTCTCTCTCAAAAAAAAAAAAGAAAAATAAATAAAATCTTTAGGTATGGAAAGAGCCCAAGTGTCCATTGATGGATGAATGTATAAAGAAGGTGTGTGGACGCTTAACTGACTGAGTCACCCAGGAGCCCCATGCATTTCCTATGTTTTAAAAAATATTGGAAATATTAGTGGCCTTTCACAACCTCACTCACAAGGACTGTGGTTAGCTGCTAAGGGGTGTTCTTCACACCCATGATTATACTGTAGTTAACAGCCAAGCCAGAAAGCCCCCTGGTAAGGCTGCCGTTCCCCACAGAGTAAGGAGAGAACCAGAATTTCTTCCAGACCCTGCTAAGAATGACCAGGAAGTGGTTCAGATTGAGGTCAATGTTCGGGGTCTGATAGCAACTATAGAAGAGGCTTTCCCTCCTAAGGTGCGTTGGCCTAAGGATGACTATTTTGGCACTGGAGTTGGGGAATAATTCACACACAGAACACAACAGATGAGCAACGAATGTGCGTTTAGCGAAGCTGAGACTGATGGGGAGGGCACAGCACAAAGTCCAAGGGCCTGGGCCTCCTGCAGTCGCTGTGTTTTTCCTTTTTCCCCCCACAGAGACTAGTTTCTTGCTTTTAGAACAAAATAAGATGCTCTCAGCACTTCTCTTACCGTAGAAAATACTTTTAGAACTTCTTAAAACTTTCTAACACACTATTTTGTCAACTGCTGAAGTAGTCACTTCAATGCAGAAAGCATGCCAGAGCTTAGTGCCCAGGCACTAATCTAACCTCAGGCAAGCACGGTGTAGCCCACAAATGCGTGGATCTAGAGCTCCCGCACTGGATGCAGCTAACTGTTTAGAAGCATGCTTTCTTGAGGCGCCTGTGGGGCTCCGTCGGTTGAGCATCAGACTTCGGCTCAGGTCATGATCCCGCGGTTTGTGAGTTCCAGCCGCGCATCAGGCTCTGTGCTGACAGCTCAGAGCCTGGAGCCTGTTTCAGATTCTGTATCTCCCTCTCTCTCTGACCCTCCCCTGCTCACGCTGTCCCTCTCTCTCAGAAATAAATAAAAAACATTTAAAAAATGCTCCTCTCTCCCTCATGCTCGCTTGCTCTCTCTTTCTCTCAAAAATAAATAAACATTAAATATTAAAAGAAGAAGAAGAAGAAGAGGAGGAGGAGGAGGAGGAAGAGGAGGAGGAAGGGGAAGAAGAAGGAGAAGCAGCAGCAGCAGCAGGCTCTGTGCTTGCCACCAGTGCAGTCAGGTCTGAGTTCCTTGCCCTGAGGCCTGCAGTGTTCCTTCTCCCCCAGGACCTCCTCCCAGGTTTTGCTCACCGCCCTGGGCCCAGCACACCTGCACTGGCCCCTGCCCAAGACGCACAGCTGTGGACAGAGAGCTGGGGCTGCCAGACTGGCCCCCAAGTTCATCCAGGCAAGGAGAAACGGCGTGTTTCCTCCTCCTCGGTTAGGTGGCCTCAAATGCCCCTTCCACAACAGGTGTCACCATTTCTGGACTCCTCTCTTCCAGGTAACATCTACTCGGCGGACCAAAGCAGTGGGACGGCAGGAGCGGAGAGGCCCCCCCTCGTTCACTGACCTCTTGGTGGTGGTGACTGCATGTTGCAAGGGCACACATCCTCGCCTGTGCAGCAGGCGGGGGGCCCAGCTACTTTTGGGGCAACCTAGCCCAGGATCAGCACGAGAGCCTGGTGGTATCTAAGGAAAGTCCCAAATCCCAAGCCCCGTGCTGGTGCCGACGGCCGAGTCTCGTAACACCAAGGGCCTCCCAACAGCCACAAAAGTCTCACGGAGGAAAACAAGGCTGTTCGACTCGTGACAGCCCTGACAGTCATGCTCAAGAGCTGATCTTGGCCTCCAGCCCTGGCTGAGGAGAAAAGGCACCCCACCACCCGCAGCAGAGTCCCATGAGACCAAAGCCCTCTCTTGCTGCAGTTGTGCTTTTCTTTGGAAGTATGGTTGACAATACTATTGGGTTGTTTTCGTGTGTACAACCTTGTGATTCCGCAATTCTATACATTTCAACATGGTCACTGTGATAAGCGTAGTTGTCACCTGTCGCCACGCAACATCAGCAAGATACTAATGACCATATTTCCTACGCTGTACTTTTTGCCCCTATGAAATTGTCAAGTATTTTATAGCTGGAAGTTTGAGCCTCTTAATCCTCTTCAACTATGGAACCCACCCCCCACTCACCACCACGTTGTTCGCAAGGGACCCAGGGCAAGCCACCCCAAAATATACCAAAGTGGCACATTGATTATTTGGGATTAAAGCTCCTTGCTTTTTTTTTTTTTTTTAAAATGTTATTTATTTATTTTGAGAGAGCGGGAGAGAGAGAGAGAGAGCACAAGCAGGGGAGGGGCAGAGAGAGAGACACAGAGGGAGAGAGAGACTCTCATGCAGGCTCCTTGCTGTCGGCGCAGAGCCTGACGCGGGGCTCAATCCCACAAACTGTGAGATCCTGACCTGACCCGAAATCAAGAGTTGGGTGCTTAACCAACTGAGCCACCCAGGTGTCCCTATTTTTTGCCTTTTGTTTTTGTTTTTGTTTTTTTTGTTTTTTTTTTTTTTTGGTTTGTTTTTTGCTTTTTAGGACATCTTTATGCCCAACACAGGGCTTGAACTCACAACCTCGAGATCAAGAATCACATGGTCTACCCACTGAGCCAGCCGGGTGCCCCTAAAGCTGCTTGAAACCGAGCCCATGCAGGAAGGCATGCGGACCCTCCTCTGTCCCCTTGGAAGCTGGAAATAAATTTCCCATGTGAAAGGTACTTTCCCTGTACTGGGAGGTAACAAGACAGCCTTAAGACCAGAGATGGGAAATTTACAGCCAAGTTAGCTGCATAAACAACACTTGTTACTTTTTTACTAATTTACCCCCTAGCCCAAATTCTGTTTAGAATTCCTTACAAATTCAATCACCCAAACACATGTTTCCTGGTCCTGTCAATTCTTCACAGGTTTATTTTCTCTTTATCTAAAGTGGATAGAAACGACCTGCTTTGGTCATTTCTTTGGGTGTCAATTTCACTATTGGGCCTTTGTGCACATGTTATAAAACTTTTAGTTTTTTTTCTCCTGTGAATCTCTCTCCAGTAAATTTAATTCTCAGTCCAGCTAGAAGAACTTGAAGGATAGAAAAAAATTTTCTCTCCCTTGGGGCGCCTGAGTGGCTTAGTCGGTTA